CGTCTAATGACCCTGATTCAGAGCCATGGAGGAAGTTAGGTTGCGTCTAATGACCCTGATTCAGAGCCATGGAGGAAGTTAGGTTGCGTCTAATGACCCTGATTCAGAGCCATGGAGGAAGTTAGGTTGCGTCTAATGACCCTGATTCAGAGCCATGGAGGAAGTTAGGTTGCGTCTAATGACCCTGATTCAGAGCCATGGAGGAAGTTAGGTTGTGTCTCAGTTGACTCATATTTAGCCTTTATAGATTTCTTTAAATTATCAAAGACAAGTTTAGAAATGTTAATATCTTTTTCTACTAACATAATGGGTGTTAATATTGATGTAGTCTGCTAGCATTAGCATTAGCAGCTAACTTCCTTGAATTATTGAGCATTGCTCTGAAATGTTGCCCGGTCACAGCAGATGGAGCTCTCCATGGTTCTGCCCTAATTCATGCTCAACCAAGTTATTTTAACCAAGTAGTAACTGTGGGACTATAACTTGTAAACATGTCTGTCTGTCTGTCTGTCTGTCTGTGGCACAGGATGTAACTATTGGCCACTAGAGGCGCTAGACCCGTAACTGCCTGTGATTTGCTTCTACTAAACATTAAAAATAATAACAGAGATCTATGACTGTATACTAGGAGCATATTGTTAACTTACCAGTCTAATAATGAAGTGGAGAAAATAGAATCTGGCTTCTTCCTTCAGCTGACGAACAAACTTTCCAAGATCGACTCGTTTTTCCTCGACTCCTTTCCTGTTTTCTTTTTTTAGACTCCAGAATGTTTAAACTTTTTCTTTCCCTCAGCCATGACCAGTAGTAGAGGTTGAAGGATAGTAGAACAAAAGCCATTTAAAATAACTCAGGACTCATTTATTTAGGTCACAAAGTCTGCCTTTGTTATTATTAAAACATAAAATTACAGGTTGAAATGTAACAAAAAAATACAACTACTATATTAACTGAATTAAACTATTTCAGCTGACTTATTCTGCCCATTTAGAGAATTTTCTTTAGCCATATATTTGAAAGAAAACTATTTAATAAATCTTTAAAATGATTTTCTGAGGGATCCATCTCTGATTCAAGTTTCTCATAAAAGTTTATTGTTTGAATAAAGAGACAAAGAAGGATAAAATGAAATGGTCAATAACTGTTAATCCGTCGCAGCAGCAGCTTTTATGGCGCTCAGGTTTTCTTTTTGTTCTTTTAGTGCATAAAGATCCGTATGAGAACCTTTACTGTGTGGTTTCTGGAGAAAAACGTTTCATCTTGCTGCCTCCCACTGACCGACCCTTCATCCCTTACGGTAAACACAGACTCTCCTCACAACTACAGCATCTACAGTGGCCATTTCTATTCAGCTTATTTCTATAGCGCCAAGTCACACCACATATCATCTCAAAGCACTTTACAGTTCGCCAGATAATCTAGTCAGATTAATTCAAGGTTTTCTATCTAAGGAAAACGGAATCAAAGGCAATCCCTCACACTAGGCATGCTTGTAGCGACAGTGGAGAGGAAAAACTCCCTTTGAACAGGAAGAAACCTCCAGCAGAACCAGGCTCAGTGTGAGCGGCCATCTGCTGAGGCCCACTGGGGTTCAAGGAGACAGAAGCAGACATAGAAAAAGAAGCATAGATACAAAAGGCAACTGTCAACCAGCTCCACAGGCGGCCCCGTCCAGGAAACACACAGCCAGGCAGACGAGCTCCGAGCCAGCTCCCATGTCAGAGGATGAAGAGAGCACATCCAGTTAGTCACAGTCAGAGAAACAGGACTACACTGGAAAACAGGCCAAGCTCCAGCATCTAGAAACAAAGGTGTTGATGGCAGCAGCACAGCTGATATTTCTCTCCAGGATGGAGTCACAGCCAAACAGGAACAGACCAGATGAAGCTACTATGAGAAAAAGCAGAGAGAGCAGAACGTTAGAGATTGAACTAACAGATTCTGCAGAGTGGGAGAATAGAGATAGAATGAAGCAGAATGATGAAAAAGGGGTCCCTATGTCCTCCAGCAGTCTAAGCCTATAGCAGCAGAACTATAGAGATAGATCAGGATAACCTGAGCCACTCTAACTAGAAGCTTTATCAAAAAGGAAAGTTTTAAGCCTAGCCTTAAAAGTAGACATTTCTTGTTGAATACTATAAAGGCTAAACCTCTGCTATTAATGCAGTTAAATTATTGGTAAAGTATGTATTGTTAAAACGTCATAAATCAGCAGATTATCAGAAAGTGAAACCTTCTCAAGACCTCGGAGGATTAGTTGCAGCTGAGCTGATCCAACCACCTCAGTTAGACCATAAACATGTAACCGCCTAATTTAACACAGTGCTGGTCTTTTTCAGTAACCACGGTAACCATCTCTGTCAGGTCTGTATCAGTCCGCCGTTTACCAGGAGCAGGAAGGCGGTGAATTTCAGGTCATCGATAACAGCGACTCCAACAAGGTTGGTTTTAGGAGCTCGTCTTCTGATCTCTCCTGGAAGCCCTGAAGGTCCGCCTGACATCTCTCCCCTTCGGCCCTTCAGGTTCCCTGGATCCCTCTGGACCCTCTGGACCCGGACCTGGAGCGCTACCCGCAGTACCGGCTGGCCCGGCCGCTCGTGTGCTCAGTGAAAGCTGGAGAGATGCTGTACCTGCCGTCTCTGTGGTTCCACCATGTCCAGCAGTCCCAGGGCTGCATCGCAGGTACGGACATTTCTCCTTTAAGACAACATGGCGTCATTCAGCAAAGGTGGCGACAGTAACGGTGCTGTGAAAAGGATCGGCCGTTCCGCCTGCAGGGGTTCAGCGCAGCAATGTATGGCTCATATGCTGGGGAAGATTCTCAGTCATCCAGGTCAAAGTCATTCCTAAAAAGTTCAAAACAATCCACTGGATTTTGTTCCAAAGTTTGAAGACATGTTTCTTTCTATCCAGGAAGCTTTTTCAATTCAAAATGTCAAAAATAGATTTAGATTTAAAGCTTCATAGAGTGGATCAACACAAAGCCTTGTTTTGGTTAGAGAACATGCAAACTGAACTGCATGAACGGGTCCACCCCTTGGGAATGAGTCAGTTTTTTTCTTTGTTAGTCTGCAATACCCAAACCTGTCTATGTCTCTGAAAGGGGGGGGGGGGGTCATTAAAGGGAACTGTTGGCCTGGCTGAACAGGCGAGGTGCTCTGGTTGCCTGTAAAGGGGGTGCATTGATAGCGGGAAGGGATCAACTCATTTGCTGCATTGGAGGTTTTTGAAAGCTGAAATGTGAGTCCACCGCTTCCTTCATGTGCCTCTCAAACCACCTATCCTCTCTGTCCAAAATATGAACAAAAAAATATACATCATTTGTCCATCAGGTGTAGGTGTAGTGCAGAGTCTTGTCTAGAGGAGGGCGCTCTTCTGTGTTGGTCCATGCGTCTGTGGAGAGGTTGTTTGGTTTCTCCAACATAAAGATCAGATCATTCCTCCCTGCAGTGACCTGCAGACCCTCAGATTAGGTCTGCAGGATGAACTGGTCTCTGTTTCAGGGTCTGTTTGGTTTGAAATGTTCTGGGATTTAGAGTTTGGAGAAAATCCTTTTTCAGAGACTCCAGAAACATGATGGGATGGAGATGTTTTGGATTTGACAGACGCCCAGTTTGGGTATTGCAATGTATGGAGCATGATGTCCAGCGGCCAGACGTACGGAAGAACAGGAAGCTTTCATATTGAAGACGGTTGGTAGGGATACATCTCGCCTTTCTGGATTTATCCACATTTATTTATTCTATTTCTTCCACCACATTCACACTCAGAGCAGATGCAGACAGCAGAAAAATATTTTCTGACAATAACTCTCCTGGATTAGAAATAATGAACCCAATTCTTTAATTCTGTTTAATTTGTCCTTTTTTCTCCCTCTGATTTCTTCTGCAGTAAATTTTTGGTATGATATGGAATACGACATCAAGTACAACTACTTCCAGCTTCTGGAGTCGCTCTCTGAAAACACGATGGGTCCTCATGACATGGCAGCAGCCTAATGATGTCCAACGAAACGACGAGAAGCAACCAGCTCCTGAAAGCCCACAAGATGCACTTTAAACAGGAGCTGGGAGATTGCTTGTGAACCTGTACTGGTTCAGTTTTATCTGATGAAAAAAACTCAGCTCAGTCTCTGCTCTGCTTTCTAAGACTGTCAGCTTATTCACTTTAGTGTCTAATAAAATCATCTGTTGTTTTTTTAATGAAATGTGTCCTCTTGGCTGTAAAACCTGAGCTTTGTCACGTCTTCAACCTGCTTTCTTCTTCCTTAGAGGCCGTTTCCTGATCCGTGTTAAACCGCAGGCTAACCTCAAATGTTTTCTGATGAATATATTTACGTTTAAATCCAAGGACTGAGCTGGGAAATCAGCATTCACAAGTTCTTCCAAAAAGATTTAAACTATAGTGGAAAGTAATCCTTGATTGATTTTATTTATTTCCATAGTTACGGGGGAGTGTTGGCCTAGTGGGTCAGAGCAGTGCCATTCTGCTCACAGAAGGTTGCAAGTACCAAATCCCCACAGCCTGCACTCTGAGCAAGAGCCTTAATCCCACCCTGCTCCCCGGGCGCCACACAGTGGCAGCCCACTGCTCCCCAAGAGCAGGGGTTAAATGCACAGAGGGAATTCTTCCAGTGTGAGATCAATAAAGTTCATTTAATTCATCTGTATTGCAGTATTCTTTGACAGGCTACATTTTTATGTATTTAGTAGTTTTTATGAAAATTAAAATACCCTTAGTATCTTATAATTTCAGCTAGAGTCGACCATATAGATGGGGAAATACACTCACCGGCCACTTTATTAGGTACACCTGTCCAACTGCTCGTTAACACTTAATTTCTAAGCAGCCAATCACATGGCGGCAACTCAGTGCATTTAGGCATGTAGACATGGTCAAGACAATCTCCTGCAGTTCAAAGCGAGCATCAGTATGGGGAAGAAAGGTGATTTGAGTGACTTTGAACGTGGCATGATTGTTGGTGCCAGAAGGGCTGGTCTGAGTATTTAAGAAACTGCTGATCTACTGGGATTTTCACGCACAACCATCTCTAGGGTTTACAGAGAATGGTCCGAAAAAGAAAAAACATCCAGTGAGCGGCAGTTCTGTGGGCGGAAATGCCTTGTTGATGCCAGAGGTCAGAGGAGAATGGCCAGACTGGTTGGAGCTGATAGAAGGGCAACAGTGACTCAAATAACCACCCGTTACAACCAAGGTGGGCAGAAGAGAATCTCTGAAGGCACAGTACGTGGAACTTTGAGGCAGATGGGCTACAGCAGCAGAAGACCACACCGGGTGCTACTCCTTTCAGCTAAGAACAGGAAACTGAGGCTACAATTTGCACAAGCTCATGGAAATTGGACAATAGAAGATTGGAAAAACGTTGCCTGGTCTGATGAGTCTCGATTTCTGCTGCGACATTCGGATGGTAGGGTCAGAATTTGGCGTCTACAACATGAAAGCATGGATCCATCCTGCCTTGTATCAACGGTTCAGGCTGGTGGTGGTGGTGTCATGGTGTGGGGAATATTTTCTTGGCACTCTTTGGGCCCCTTGGTACCAATTGAGCATGGTTGCAACGCCACAGCCTACCTGAGTATTGTTGCTGACCATGTCCATCCCTTTATGACCACAATGTACCCAACTTCTGATGGCTACTTTCAGCAGGATAATGCGCCATGTCATAAAGCTGGAATCATCTCAGACTGGTTTCTTGAACATGACAATGAGTTCACTGTACTCAAATGGCCTCCACAGTCACCAGATCTCAATCCAATAGAGCATCTTTGGGATGTGGTGGAACGGGAGATTCGCATCATGGATGTGCAGCCGACAAATCTGCGGCAACTGTGTGATGCCATCATGTCCATATGGACCAAACTCCCTGAGGAATGCTTCCAGCACCTTGTTGAATCTATGCCACCAAGAATTGAGGCAGTTCTGAAGGCAAAAGGGGGTCCAACCCGTTACTAGCATGGGGTACCTAATAAAGTGTACCTAATAAAGTGGACGATGAGTGTAAGTAAGGTTCTTATCAGGACATCAAAAAATCTCCTTCCTAATTCATCAAAGAAAAAAAAAAAGGAAAATATGAAACTAAGTGAAGCAGTTTTGTTTTTTTTTTCTTTTACTTAATTGTCTTTTCTCAAAACATCCATACACCTACCTGCATTCATGCTCATACCTTAGACCGTGTGGGAACATATGAAGAAAATTGTGGAGAAATAACAGTATGTTCTCATAGCTCCATCTTCTCTAATAATTTAGACATTTTAGATTTATTTGAGTTCTCAACCAATATTACATTCAATAAAAATAGAGCATTAACAACTTTCAAAGAATCTTTGATTTTAAATTACCTCCTATAACGGAGCAGCAAATTTCTCTCCTTTTGATGTTACTTCCTCGTTCTAATCAACACCCAATATAATCCCCTCAAAAAGGAGGCAAATAGCGACAATTCAACCAGCTTACAGTCAAACTGATGAAAAGTTTTCTATTGAACGAAAACCTGCTGACTGAATCGACCATCAATCATTGACTGAAAAGCAATCCCTCACACCAAGCATGCTTGTAGTGAAAGTGGAGAGAAAAAGCTCCCTTTAAACAGGAAGAAATTTAAGGCCTTATATGTGTGAATGAGGATATTAAGTTCTATTCTGGATTTAACAGGAAGCTGAAGAGAAGCCAGGAGAGATATGATCTCTGTTTCTAATTTTCATCAGAACTCTGGCTGCAGCATTTTGGATCAGCTGAAGGCTTAGTAAAGAATTAATGTTCTATTTAGTTCAATTGCCAAATTCACCCTGAGTCGTATCTGTTGAGCATTCCTGTCCATCAGTACTCAGCAGTGGTGAGTTTATGCGATATTCTATATATGAAATTGGTTCTAATAAAAACAAAACCATGGAAAATGTGAAGGATGAACTCAGAAATGGTGATATAGAACCTAAGCAGTGTTTGGCCCGTTTCCATCCAGTTGAGCTTAATCTTTACCTTCAACTTGTTCGGTAGCTTCATCCCAACAAAATTACTAAAGGAAGATTTACCTCTGATCACCGTTTTAGCTCTGATTAATCTATCACTGGTTCAGGGATGCGTACCGCAAATTAAACTGGACAATAAACAGGTTTCTAGGATTTTCCTAGAATATTGCCAAAGCTAAATATATCCTGTCATGAATGAAGCAGAAAAACGACATGCATTGTTACTTGTAGGTGGACGTCTTTACCATCAGGAATTCCTCTAAATGCAGTGAAAAGCTTCAGCAGATCCAAAACACTAAAGCTATGACGCTGATGAAATCACTACGATCATATTTATCTGACATTAAACTGAAATATTAGCTTTCCTTTGTTTTTTTGACCAGAAGAATTTTAAAATCCCTTTGCATATAAAGCCCTAATCAAGCAACATTTTATGGGAGCACTTGTTTTTAATATGCAGGTTTATTTTATAAAGCTTATATCTAGAGTGGCTCAAGTTATCTGGAGCTTTTTCTAAAGTTATGCTTCTATAGACTTAGACTGCTGGAGAACGTAGGCACCACTTCCCCGCACTCTGCTGTATTCTACTTCTGTCCTTTTTACTGACGCTGCATGCATGCTTGGTACGACAGTTACAACAATACAACGAAAGCAATTGTCTGTCGTCACATAATCATCCAGGAGGAGTAAATATCCAAGTCAGTCCCTGGATGCAATCTGTTACGTGTCAAACTTTTAACTTGCCCATCTGGATCCAATTGACCAGTAAAGTGCTGAGTTGTAGCATGCACAGGTCTGCAAGGTCTTTACTCTTTGGTAAAAACATTTAAGGTGCTTTTAAATCTGGAAAAAGTAAAGTTATGCTAGTTCTATTTTTCTAAAATTCCAAGCCTCCATTGGGTGATTTTAGCATCCTGGTTCTTTTACTGCTCTATGAACCTTGGATCTGCTGTTTTTCTTTACCTCCAGACTGCCTTGGTGTGGGCCGTAAGGCTAACCTGTAGCTTTACCTAGATGAGCAATAACCTCACCAGTTGTGCTCTATGTTGCATTTCTAGGGGACAAATCCACACTTTAACCTTCAAGGACCAAGAATATGTACATATTCACAAAGTTTCTGCAATTATTCTGTTAATTCTAACATATAACAAAACACCTCTTATGAAGTCCTTTGTAGTCCTAACATGTCTTCAGTCACTTAGAGATGAAATAAACCGACTGGAAATAAAGACTCCAGATGTTTTCAACATAAACAGACCAGAACGCATTTTATTAAAGCAAAACATTAATGCAGAAAATTTCAGAGGCAGCAGAAACGACCCAGCAAACAAACGTTACGTTCACATCTTCTATTATGCTTTATTTTTTTTTTAGAGCTTTTTAAAATAATCTTTACTGTCAAGTTTTCTCCATATTGCATCGTCTCAAAGACCCAAGGCCACGTTTCTCCCCGTCCTACTAAGAGATAAAATGATTATCCGTCAGCTAATGGAAGCACTCAAACAAATCCTATACAAAACCCAGCATGGTGTGTTCAGGAACACGTTCTGCTTTGGAAGCTTTCCCATCCTCTCCTGTTGATCTGCTTACACCATTTGTTCCTAAGGTATGAACAGATCACTTCCCCACATCAGTTATTTAAAACCAGCTGAGAAGCTGAATGTTCTGACTTCCTGCGCCGCCGTTTCCAGCCCAGCTCGCCAATTGATCTAAGCTCCATTTTTGCAACAGTTCTCAGAAATCTGGTTCACAGAAGAGTCCTGGCTGTGAATCTTCTGCCTTCTGGATAAAAGTCCAATCTATTGATCAGTGATCAATTAACAACAAAAAAAACCAGAAGAAATCTGAAAGGTGGCGACCTGAGAGGTAGGGGGCGCCACATTTCATACAGCAACTCAAAACGTGGAGATTTCTTCTACAAATCTGTTCTCAGCTGCTTGGATTTCTAAATCCTGGGATTTTTCTGCTTAAAATGTGTAAAAAAAAAAAAAAAAGAAGAAATTTTTATTCCCAAACAAAAAATGAACAGGTGAACTGAGTTTTACTCCTTAATGAAAATAAAAAAAACTTTTACATAAGTGACTTTAACACATCCCTCAACGTCCAGAAAAAAGAAAAGGACCCGGTTCTGCCGAATATGAACAGAACCGAGCTGAATGGGCCTGAATGCACGCGGCGGGTAGAAGCCGTTGGACCGGCCGCTGCAGCGTCTCAGAGCAACAGCTGATCCATTTTGGTTTAACGTGCTTTAATCTGGAAAAGCAAAATGTTAGAGACTGAAGGCTGATGACTGAGGAAGGACTTAAGGCTTCACACAAACAATCATTCAGCTTTCATGGCTATAGTTCCTCCTATAAATTGGCACATTGATGCTGTGAAATGCAGGCACCCAGCGGTTGTCATGGAGACCCACGTTGCAGCCAGGTGCATCCCTCTGGGCACCATGGCAACACATCCAGAAGCCTGGCCCGTAGGGCAGAGCCTGGCAGTAAGGCTTGTGGTGCCAGCGGCACAGGGACACGTCCCCCGGGCAGTAACGCTTCTTGCACTGTTTGCAGGGGTCGTCACGGTAGCGGGGGTCGGACACCCAGAGCGAGTCGGCGGGGCGCACGCCGTAGTTCTCGATGATGAACTTGAAGTAGCTGCAGGTGCACTTGAGTGCGGCGAGGCTCTGCGTGGGCAGCAGCAGGAACATGTTCACCAACAGGTGATGGGGAAGCAGCAGCAGGTACGACTGAGGCGCCAGCAGCTGCTGCAGCCGCCGGCGCACTTTCAGGAAGTCCTGCGACGCCGAGGGACTCCTGCCAAGAGGCACTGCGGCAGAGCGAGAGTTGTGGCCCCCGTTCTTCTCCGACTGGGGAAGGGGGCTGATGGCGGGAGGGGCAGGAGGAAGGGTCGGCTGGAGGTAGAAGCTTGTCCTGTAATGAGGAGCGCAGCGGTTTGACTCCTCAGGGGAGAGAAACAGGAGGCCGGGCAGGGGCTCCTGCTCCTCAGACTGAGGGGGTGGGGGGGCGGTCTCCCCTGAAACCTCCCCAGTAGGATCACCTGAATGCGGTGCAGCTGGGGGCGCCGCTCCGACTGTGTGTGATGAACTAACGGGGTTCTCGCTGCTGCTCAGAGGCTCAGGTGGTGATGATGATGATGGTGATGAAGAGCCCTTGGTTACTGGGGGGGTTACTGGGGGGGGTTCTGGCGGTGGGCTGAAGCTTTTCTGCCCTGCAGCGAGGAGGACTCGGCCCACTGTCCTCTTTAGGCTGTTGCTCCTGGACAGACTGGTCTCGCAGCTCCTCAGACACTCCGACTCCAGCTTGGCCACCATTTCTGAGACCCTGACGATCTCTGGCTCCTCCCCCTCCCTGATCTCTGGCTCCTCCCCCTCCCTGATCTCTGGCCGGATGGTTTTGGACAGGGTGATGGTGGTGCAGCTCCTCTGGATATTCAGCAGAGGTTTGAGGTTCGGCTGAAGTTCGCTCGCTCTGTGCTCCAGGAAGGCCACCATGTCCACAACCGAAACCTTCTGCTCCTGCTCTGCCGGCGGCGGCGGCGCTTCCCCACGCGGCCCGCCGGCTGACTTTGAACACCTCGGCTTTGCTCTGAAGTCACACAGCGGTTCGCTCGCCATACGGCTCCTCTGGTCCAGCTGATGCTTCTGGTTGTGGAGGGACCTGCGGCGCCTCTTGGCAGAGCTGTTCTCCTCCCAGCTTCCCTTTGCCTTCACGGCACGGAACTGCCCCGACAGAGCGCCGCTGCTCACACACGTCATCCCTGCTGCACTGCAGCGGCTCAAATAGCTCGCCGAGCCGCGTGCGCCGTCCTCGGTCCCGTCCGTCAGCCTCCCCTCTGAAGCGAAGATGGCAATCTTCTCACGCACGTGTCCCGGTTTGATGACGGTCCACATGTTCAGCGTCGTATCGCCATCCTCCGCCGTGTTCTGGCACGGACCCAGAGGAGGGTGGTACCTGCTGGTCGGTGAGGGGGGGGCCTGCACGGCGGCGCCACAGCAGAGGGTGTTGGTGGAGATCAAACGTAACGGCGAACGGCTGCTCCGCTCACTGGACATCTTCTTCCTCAGCACCTCCTGCTGGCTCCTCTGAGGCGACGTCTGAACTGCAGCTGCATCCAAATCGGAGCGCAGGAGCGTCGGATACGGCCTCAGAGGCATGGCTGACCTGCAGGGACCACACAATCCTTTGATTACACACCGACTGGAGGAAACCTGCTGGCCAATCTCACAGGGAATAGTTCCTCTCTCAGCAGAGCGGGAAGAGGATTTAGTTTATGATGTCAGACAGCTCCTGGCAAAGCGCAATAAAGAGAATATATTTCCCTTTGCTTTTTATTGGACATGGTTAGCTTCAGGTTAAGATGCTAAACAGGCTTCATCTGTCCAACAGCAGGATTGCCAGGAAACACGCAGAAGTCGATCCGACTAGAACTAAAACAATTAATTAGATTAATCAATTATTGAAATAATCAACTAATTTATTAATCGTTAACCGTTGAATTTACGCTTCCCCATGTTGTTCAGAAAAAACGTTAGCGCCGCATTGCCCCAAGGTCCGGATAGATTAACGGTTTTTATTGGTTCTATCTCAAATATGTCAAAATCAAGGCCTGAGAGACGAATTGTTTATCCGCGGCCCCCCTGGATGATATTTAATCAGCATTAGAACCGGCCCACAGCCCACGGCGGCTTCTGCTCGCTGCTGTGACTTTGCTGGCTACTGTTGCATTGTGGGGAATGTAGTGTTGGTGTGTTTCACACACCAACACTACATTCCCAGGGGAAAACATGATTGTGTTTTTCTTTTAAGATTTTTAGTTGTGCTTTGCATGTTTGGATTATTTTGGTTTTTGCTTTTCCTCCTTTAACAATCCAAGCTTGGATGAAGTCAGTTGTCCAAGGGGGCGGTGTGCACAAACTACACTCCCTAACTGCTGCGCACAGGCGTCAGCAGAGGCTGATGGAAGCCAAAATAAAAGGAGCCTGGATGGAGGGAGGCGCAGGTGGGATCCGCATGTCAGGCACAGACAGACAGGAGGTGGACAGACAGCACAGTCAGGGCAGAGGTCTGACTTGTTGCACTTTGCATGTTTGGATTATTTTGGTTTTTGCTTCTCCCTCTTTTAACAATCCAAGCACACTGGGCTGAAGTTGGTCGTCTAAAATGTCCCCACACTCAGTCTTTGACGAGGTCAAGCAAGCAACTCAAAACCCAGCAGCAAACAAAAAAAAACAACAAAAAAAACAATCAAGTCCAAGATGTTTTATTTCAACAAAAGCCGCCGTAATAGTGGCACGATAAAATACTCCCTTTCCCTTTTTTAAAGGTCCAAGATTTAATAATTGTCCTTAAAAGTCACCAATTAGAGGCCAGAGGTCGAGCTCCACTAATTACGCTTCTTCTGGAGGCGATCCATCTACAGCGCAGCCTCTTGCCCATCCACAGCTGATTCTGCAGCGCTTCAGCACCGCTCCACTCGTCTGTGTGCCACGCCGCTTTGCAGACCGATCTAGCTAAACGAAAGATGCAGGAAAACGCCAGCATCCCCGCACCAAGACTCCATCAGAAGATGCATTTCCTACCGATACTCTGATGGAGACGGAGCGCTACTTACAGACGGAGCTCTGCGCTGCCTGTGCCGTCTGTTCACCTCCCGGTATTCTGTCTCTGGCGTGGATCCCAGCTGCCCCTCCCTCAGCAGCGTGTCTGTTTCTATCACCCCTCCCTCCATCCAGGCTCCTTTTATTTTGGCTTCAATCAGCCTCTGCTGACACCTGTAGTCTTTGGTCTTTTTGATTCTTCCGTCCTTTTTGGTATTGCTCTGCTTTTTGTTTAATAAATTCTTTTTATTCCTTATTTTCCTCTGGCTGAATTCTGGGTCTGCTGCTGGAATTCATCACTAAATTTTTACATTTCTTTGTACAAGACGTGATTTTGTGTTTGAAGTATTGTTTTGTCTGTGCGCCATAGATTTTTTTTATTTATTTTATTTGTTCATATTTTTCAGTTGAATGGAGTCAGGGACAAATAAGAGCCATGTGAGAGAACACAACTTCTTATTTTACTATTTAAAAGCAGTGATTTGATATTGAAGACTTCTTAAGGATCTGCAGGAACCTTGTAGAAAACTGAGTAAAGCTAATGGCTCATCTACAATAACACCATCATGATAAAGCTACAAAGAATACTAATAATTATTGATATAGTGATTGTTAATGCAGCATAATTACCTTGACAGCACATAATGAGCGGCGGCGGTCTCAGAGCTGTGATCCAGGGTTACCAGTAAGCTTCTCTTTGAACTTTAGGAAAGCAGACTGAAGTGGAAAAGCTTCCTCTGCATAAAGCCTGCAGAAAAACAACAACAAATACGCAGAACAAACCTTAGCAAAGCAGATCAAAGGGTTGATGATTAAAGGCCGTTCATCCTGACGTGCAGAGATAATGTTAGCTTCCCTCCTCTGACATCACTGGCCATTCCACTCTTTGCCTTCAACTGGAACAAACTTTAGAGCGTTTTTGGACCGCGTCTCCAGTGGAACCATTTTAGGTGTGACATCAGTGGGTTATCACATTTTGAGGCGCAGAGCTGGTGTTTCCCTGACGCCCACACCGTGCTTCGTGCCACATGAGAGACGACCTGCCTGTTGGCCCATTCAGCCGTTCCTCCGGCTGTGCTTCTCCGTTTGGATCCCATCAGAAACGTTCTGCAGAAAGTTTCACACCTATCAGATGTGTTCAGGGTCTGTGGTCGTAATGATCCGCTTTGTAATGATCAGAACATGATAAAGCATTCCTGTGTTAGATAACAGGAAGAAACAATGGCCAATCAGGTTTGACGCTTTCGCAATCCTTGTTTACGTCCTTTTTGTTTCCATATGGAATTTTCCAGAGATCAGATCAGGAGGGTTATGGCTGCTGTCCTCTCACCTCTGAGGGCCTTTAGAGGATGCAGATAC